AGTTATTCTTACCAATTTCCCAACATTTAATAAAGAGATTTTTTTTTTTTGATATTTTATATATGTTTTATCAGATGCAAATACTTTACAAAAAACTTGAGAAATAAGGATAGCTAGGAACCTGAGGATCTTATGATGGCTAATGCCGCAGAAAGTTGCGAGCGGAACGGCAAGAAATCAAACAAACCGTTGCCCGACGTGTTGACTGCTACTCGGTCGTCCATTCGATACACCACTTTGCCTTGGCTCGGTAACCATATGAAATCCGCAAACTCGTGTTTTTTCCCAAATGTCACGGCTTGATCCCCGAAATCCGAATCGTTGCTCATAACATACCTTAACGATCTTTTAAACATTGGTTGCAATTTAAACGTCACCTTTTGAGCATTTTTGATAAAAATGTGTTAGAGCTATGATATTATTGTGTTGTAAGCACAAAAAAATGAGAATTTTAATTAATCCAACCTGAGAGATGACGCCAAGAACGCCAAGAGAAACCTTAGCCGCGTTAAACTCATTAGGAGTCGTAGTTTCGCTTAAAACTCTAACTTTTGCAAACCCATCGTTGACCAAGCCAGGACTAACCATCCTGATCTCCGTCACATAATCGTGGACCGCACTTCCTTTACCCCACAACGAGCTCCCATGAGCACCAGTCCCCATTAGACCACCCACGGTTAGTCCCCACCAATACGGTGCATAAGGCAAAGCCAAACCAACCTTAGCCGCTTCAGCGATTAACTGCCTAAGCGTCATGCCGCTCTCAACAGTTAAGGTCATGGCTCTTGCATCTCCTTGAACCGTGTGGTTTAGAAACTTTGTGCTAATAAACAAACCATCGGTTCCGTCCGTGCACGCGAGCTTAGTGATGCTATGGGAATATCGAGTGGTTACACGCATTTTACGTCCGGCTTTAGTAGCTGCAGCCACGATAGAGACGAGCTCGGCTTCGTTTGTTGGGTATGCTACATTGGCGGCTCGACACGTGGACCGATCTGGAAAGATACCATATGAGTTGGTGACCGTACAATCTGAGTTTCCCGACACACATTTGACGGGATCTTCAGGTGGTGTTGAGATTGTAGTGAAGACTAGTGTAGATATACAGTGTAATATGAGAAGGATGCGCCAAAACGCAGCGTTTTGGGAACCATAAGGAAGATAAGAAATAAATGCCATTAATGGGTCTTTTAAAATGTAGTTGCACATTTTGGTGGTTTTTTTTTTAGATTATACGTTTGGTATATATAGAGGTTGTGTAGCGTAAAAGGCCAGTTTTAGTGTGATTTAATTTATAATATCCGGCCGGTTGATAAGAAAATAACTGAGATATGCATGTGATGCTTGTAAGATAAGATTAATGATGATCATGTTTTTTTTTTATCATTTTCTCTCATTTTTATTTCATCGATTCATCATTGGACTCTCTTAGTCTCTTCGTTCCCATTTGAATGAATTTTAAAGGATATATCATATATATGATTACTTTTGGAATTTTTTTGTTCTCTATACTAATCTGTTATTTTGGTGACTTAAAATCTTGATTGTACTGCAAAAGAGGTTTTTTTAGCCAACAAGAGAAATGCCATTGGTCGAAGAGAGGCAACGGTATATTTAAATATTATAAATATTTCCTATCGCACTTTTAAATATATCGGGTTTTGAAACTTCCATATATAGATCATAAAAATTTGTAACTAATCATTCACACAGTTAATGAAAAATCCTAGACAAAATGATATCATGTCAATACACAGTTGATTTCGTTTACTCATTGATTCAATACATAATGAGACACAATAATTTTGAATAAATTGACAGTGTACTGCAGAACTTACATTAAAATATTGACATATACTATATAGTATATTATTAAAAGAAGAAATTATGTGTTAGATATTATCGGTTGATTTTCCACGTAAATTAGTCTGCCTAATGTTAGATGGTACGTATTAATCAAATGAGTGGAGCCAAAAAAAAAAAATCAAATGAGTTACAAACACATATTTGGGTATTTGACTATTAACGTCCACTTGATTAAATTTAGAAACGTCAAAGCATTGACCGTGCACCGTCAAGCACTCAAGCTAGTTATGTTAATTAGGGTTTATATAACAAAATACTCAAGAAAAAGTATTAGTATTGATGTGAGTAATAGACTAATAGAGTAATAGTATAGGTTTGATAATTACTTAATCATAATAATATTTAAGAGAAAAAGTATTATCTAAAGATATACTTTTCACTCCTTATGTATTTGAAAAATGCATGTAACCGATGATTACCATACATAAGTGGTAGAATTCAAGTATTCATCATGGATGTGCCTTGTGAGTAAACTATATCCGATATATATTAATTAATAATTGAGAAAACACTAAGTGAAAAGATCAGGTCCGGTCCATAGGACAGGCGGGCTAGGCCATTGTCTTGGGCCACCATTTAAAAACAAAAATTTAGGGCCACATATTTTTCATAATAATAAGTCTACAAATACAAATTTTAAAGCCNAATGTATTTTGACAAATTGTTTTCAATCATTAATATATATGAAACGTGATTAGTTTTTTTTCTTGTTAATCAAACAGATTATAAAAATCGAAAACATCTATAATATTTTTAGAAAACCTAAAATCATCCGATTAAAAAATTGTCGCCATCGTTTGCTGCTCTNCTTTCTTCTTCACCAAATCGATCAAGTAAGTTGTTCATATTTTATGATTCTTCAAAATTAAATGTTTATAATCTCACTTAGTTACCAAATTGGTATGTTGTTTC